TATGCTATGTTAAAATTTTTATAAATTAGAGAAGGTTTCTAAATATTTTAACATTCAAGCCCTCATACCCTTTCCTTCTCATTATCTAACATCTTAATGGTCAGAGGTAACAAGCATGGTCATCTAAAGGAAGTAGTTCTTATTCTCACCTTCTTGATGATCATTTTTTATCTACTAAAGATGTATCTGCATACTATAGGTACAAAGACTCTCGTATCACCCCATCTTGATAACCAAACCAGTAATCCCTAAACTAAGAAGTGCTAAATCATTTTACATTCACCACTCTACAATTCTTGCTAACCCCATATTTTCCCTTTAATTCTAAACTTCATTGTGAATTTTCCATGAACCTAAAGATTACTGCCACTTTTCACATCATGAGATCTTATGTCTACATGTTACTCACAGAAATAAGCAATGAAGATTTATGTGAATATCTCAACCTATCCACAGAAGGACCTTAACCCCATTCATTGTCATGTAGGGGACGATTTTATTAGAGTGTTACTAATTTAACCATTTAAAATATTTTCCTAAATTAACATGAACTTCTCATAAATAAAAAAAAAATATTAAAAAATTTAAAGTAATAATACTCTTTGAATCAAAATGCCCATATTATCCATCATATTCTTAAAACCTTAATCATTCCTAAAGCTAGAGATTATATAAATATTACCCAACTTTTTTTCTTATTTATCTACTTTATTATGTCTGAAAGAAAATATTACGAAGCCCAAATAATCCTAGATTACATTAAAAATCTTTCTTCCATTCACCTTCCTTTCTAAAGAAGGAAGGAAAACATTACTTGTAGTCATGTCATCGCCTACATCCTAGATAAAAAATAAGAGCTTACGTATCCTTCCAATGTTGATCATTTCCAAATCTATTGAACTGATAGTTCCTTATATTATCTTTTTTTTATCATCATCGAGAGAACGATCCAGAATTATATTATAATTTTGATCAGGAAGGGGAACTCATTCTGTTGAAGCACCTGTACAAAATCTCACATCAGGACTAGTTCTAGCACTTGCACCAGCATACCAGAGGTACCCCTACGACAAGTTGATACAACATTTTGATCGATTGGAGTCCTTACAGGATAGCCATGTTCAATAACAAAAACATCAACATCATATCATAATGGCAAGATTTGACAAACAATTTGTTATTATTCACTACTATTTCCAACCACTGTTGCAACCCATGACCCCGAGTTTGAGATTTTGATGATGCCAAATAATGTTTGTTTTGAAATAACTTTTCATTGGATATTATTTTATTAGCTATTGTCCTTGAGTACTAACATTTCAGGAAGATCACAAGTGACTCAGGACGAAAGAAAGTCTCAAGAACGGGTAGATTAGGAGTATGAGTCAGATATTGTATTTTTCTATTTATTGTATTTTTATTTTCTTGAGTCTGGCCACAAAATGCATAAGAGTAAGAACAACCATGCACACACACAGGGGGAGAGTTTATTTTTTAAATGCAAAATATATTAGAATTTCCTCTCTGTAGATCGTGCTGTACGATTTTAATTCGTACTGTACGATCCGAGCTGTGTGGATGGTTCTGTGAATAGATCGTACTGTATGAATCTATTCGTACTGTACGATATGTTCAAATCCAAAACCTTAGCCGTAGTTTAGTTTAAGTAAGTAATTTTGCGTCGTTCGTACTGTACGAACATTTTTGTACTGTACGATTTATTTTAAATACTTACTTAAAATAACCCGTGATTAGTGCATGTAATCCAGGCCTAATTAAATTTTGAACATCGTACTGTGTGAACCGGATCGTACCATATGATGAACAGAGATGATGTTTGATCATCCCGGATATCATCCTGGACGATCTCTTTATTTTAGTCTTATCGTACTGTATGATAGTGATCGTACCATACGATGAACAGAGATGACATCTGGTCGTCCAGACCATCGTCCTCTATGAATAGTATTTTGTGAATCGTACCGTACGATATTATATCATACAGTACGAATTGTTTTTTAACTATTCATACATCTTCGTACTGTCTTATCTACAAACTCAATCTGTCTTCTGAAAATTTATCCCTTGACCTAAGCTCGTTAGAACTCTCCTTGCCCACATAAACAAACAAGAAAGGGCTGGCGCAGAGAGGATGGGTGAGAAATTTTTGGAGCCCACAATGGAATTGTTATGCCAAATTAAAGCCATATGGTTATGTAAGTACTTGAGATAGGCGATTTGGATGGAAATCCGAGCACATTCAAAAATTTTAACCAATTGTGATTATAAATATTACAAACTACTATGATAGGAAGGTGAGTGTAAATTGATGTCTATAATTTCTCCATTCTTATATGGATGTCACTAGTTTCATTTATAAAAATAACATCTCTAAGTAGGGCTATTAATGAGTTGGCCTAGGGATGGCATGAAAGCAGCTTTATGGATTGCTAAGAGGCTCAAAATCAATTCGTGGCTTAATTTATTCAATTTCGAGCTAGCTTAGCTCGTTTTATGATTGATCTTGGTTTGAAAGACTGTCACATTTGAAAATCAAGCCGACTTGAATGGAGCTTTTTTATTGCAATTTGGCTGAGAATTGCAATAGTAAATGATATAGCATTCCATAAAATCAATCAAGAGCCAGGAACTCTAAAAATATTTACAATAGCCAAAATTATATTTTTCGCAAAATTCACAATACTTGGAAGCGCCCAATTCTCAAATCATAGTAGCCAAAAGATCTAAAGAAAATTGATTTCAAATTATTTTCTTCAATCTAGTTATTCTATAAACCATATTATGAAATGAGTACTCCCATGGAATGTTAAAGAGATGATTAATTACAGATTTGCAATTACTAAAACTAGTGCAATCCAATAAATGCAATGATCTTACGAAGAAAGGAAAACCAGAAGAAGTGGTGACCAAGCGTGAGACTTGGGAGTTAAAAAAAAATAAAAATAATCCTTATAAAGTTACAAACCACAATCGATGAAGAAGAAGAGGTGAGCGAGGAACATAAGCTATAGCCTAATCATCACTCGCTAGAAAGTAAAGCAAGAGCTAGAAAGTAAAGCAAGAGGGAGCAAAATAGCATTTAAGAAATGGGTTAGGGTTTCTTGGGTATTAAGGAGTCATTGTTACAACCTTCGTGATGCCAACTTTTAAGTTTTGAGAAATCTTTAGTCCTTATAAGTATATTGTTACAAGTTCATTATAGCACTCAACATTTAAAGTGTCAATCATCCTTTGTACTCCATTCTCTTAGATGGGAGAGGTCTATATCTTATAGTTGAAAATGAGTTTGAGAACGTTGATTGGGAATTGGGAATATCCTTTAATTTAATGTCTAAAAAAGTCTTTATATTCATTATGACATCACTAGATGAATTAACTAAAATATCTTATCAATCAATTATGATAATCAAGAGGATGCCAAATTATTGGGAAATTTTTGCTTAGCATTGTTGAGATCATAAATCCCTTACCTTTCAAGCACTTTTTTTAGTACTGATTATGAATCTCAAAGCTCTTAATAGAAGATGAATTGAATTCTTTATGTTATTTGAGGAATCTACTGGTCCTCCTTCAACTTAGAGCGCGCATTTTCTCTTGTTGGACCAAGGACGTCTTGAAATCTCTTGTTGGAATGAATGAACCTTTTCTCTCTACAAGAATGGAAGGAGGATAATTTGCAATGGTGCATCGAAGAGATTGACTGTTGTCTGAAGTGAGTGAAGTGCCAAGTGGAATTCAAGCAAAACTGGCGTGTAAGAAATGTTGTGCCATGATTGGAGAGTGTCAGGTGCCAGGTAGTATACATGAAGGCAGTTTTGTGGACTGTAGACCCTGAGATATATGAATTTTGGGTATAAATGAAGAATGAGAATGTGGAGATCACAATCATGGTTGAGGTGAGGCAAGGGCATCTATGCTTGATAGCGCTCCATGACTCTACAACATGTATTTCACCATTATTTGCCCAAAGGTTGCATGAGATCTCAACCATCTTGATAAAGCACGTCCTATATTCAGTATTGAGAGACTACTATTCGAGGCTGGAAGACCATGCTGAAGTCCTTGACATCAAGAGAGAGCACAAAAGTTACGACAAAGTGTCCTGCAAAGGACTTTCCGTGTGGGAGCCCTTAGAGGCAAACGTAGAGTGGGTCAAGGGCACTCATAATTATTTAATAATCATGTTGTGTTTTTTCCTGCACATACTTGCAGATGATTGCTTGTATTGAAAAAGATTTTGCAATGAAATGAATTTTTTTTAAAATAATTGTTATTCTTGTCCTTTGGCTTTTCACCCCCTTCGACTTAGTGCAATTATCATACAATTTGAGTGAGGAGTGCCTGATTATACTATTCTTTGAGCGAATTAGTGCATGTCGGGGATCAATAATTACTTGTGAAAAGAGGATGTAGTTTTGTTGTAGCGAGAAGCAGATATTTTGTACAGGAAATAAGTACTAACATGCAATTCTAAAATGCATGTATTTTGAAGATATCCAAATAAACAGTCCTTAAATTACTGAATTAATGTGCATACTTGGGTATCAGTAGTAAACTTAGATTTAGGCTGTTTTCGGATCTATAGAATGAGAATTTTTGGGGGAATAGATAAGAGTTTTCTGTTCAGGACTGCAGATTAATGTAGTACTGTACGAGATATTTTTATTAAATTTGAAGTTAATTTTTAGCGCGATTCTTTTCAGGAAGTGGAGTTGATTGCTTTAAATTTTTTTTCATAATATCCATGGCTTTATGACTTCTGTTTGGTTCTTCATTCTTTGTATGTCATTTTCTCTCATCGGTTCGAGTCTTTGTTCCTTTTTTATCTTTTGTTTAACCTTTAAAATTATAGACAATCTTATTTATGATAGCTTAGGTTAGATATAATGACTAAAAGCTTCACATTTAGTTCTGCTTAAAGCGAGCAATTTACTTTTTTCCTCTTTTGAAATATTTTATTCCATGTTCTTATCAGTGGGAAAACTTATACTATGGTTGGGACTCAAAATGATCCCGGACTCATGGTTCTTAGCCTAAACACCATCTTTGAACTTATCAAGAATGATAGGAGTTCAGACAACTTTGAAGTCTCTTGCTCTTACCTTGAAGTGTACAATGAGGTATGCTTTTCATTTCGATATAATCAATGGTTTTGCTTGATTCTTGAATCCCCAAATTAATTTTGAATTGCATTTCATCATCCTTGCCCCATCTCATAAGACAGCAATATTGGCGAAAATATCATATTTTCTGTCCTATTCCAGGTCATTTATGATTTACTTGAAAAATCATCTGGGCACCTCGAACTCAGAGAAGACCCTGAGCATGGCATTGTCGTTGCTGGTTTAAGAAGTATTAAGGTTATTGATCTTTCTGATTAGGATGTTCTTTTGTCAAATTCCTTATGTTATCATTGTTTTTTATTAGTTTAGACTTTGCTGGATCTTGTTGGAAGGCAATTTCTTATGAATTGTATTGATCTGTTACTGACTACTCTAGTTCTCTTACTTGGGTAACGATGGTCTCTCACTGCATCTACAACTCTACCATTCTTTTTCTGTTATTTATATAGTGTCGATCAAATGCAAGTTAATCAACGGGGAAGGATTCTTATAGGGCTTTTGGTTGATTCTATTTTTATGTTCAGGACTATAGAGGAGCTTATAAGTAATGGATTGCAGTTAAATTTAACGGATGGTTGATGTGGATTTAAATATTTAAACATTAAAGTATGATGTCTTCTGGAGCTGAAATTTCCCTGTCAATTTCTTAAACATAATGTAAGTTTCATGGATATGAATTGAAAGCTTCTTGAGACTGCCCCTATCAATCAAAGATGATCACAGGTTTGATGATTGATACGTGGTGTGTCAGCCCAAATCCGGATGACCAAGCCCAACCAAAGGGTTGTGACAGTTTGGTCAGACCTTACCGAATTATCCCAATTGGTACAGTCTAAGCAATGCATCATTGCCCATCCTACTAGGCTGTGAAAAGCCTTATAGAACACACTACGACATGGACACAATATGACACAAACATTGCAAAAATGACATAAAGGTAAACAATATTGCTTTTATAAATTATTGATATAAAATGTATGATTAAAATACCATATACTATTATTTCATTAAAATTATCATGCAATGAATTATAATATCATTGCAAATTATATTCATACTAATTCATAGATAGTTCTCCTATTATACAATACAAAATTTAAGATTATTAGATTGCTAATGAATAAAATCATAAAACCTCATTATTAAAAAGCAACATTAATACATATGTTTTTGAGAGAACCTAAAATATGAAGAAAATCTTAAAAAATTATAATTTCTTGTTCAATAAGAAAAATATAAAAAAAATTCAGAACAATATAATTGAAATAGGGTTTGTGTAGGCAAGTTATAGTCATTAGCGTTTAGTCTTAATTCTTGACTAGAGGAGAGACATGAATAGTTGCTTCTTAGTAGAAAAAGAAGGTCCAATGCTCGTCACCTCTATCTAAAGAGCAACATGTAAAAGTTCAACACCCAAGCAAGTGGGAGATGAATTGATACAAACATTGAATGGTACCTGAGCTAAGGCTAATATTTGTGAATGTTGAAATAGGACAAGTAAAAGGACCAAATGATTGAGAGAAGGAATTGATTTATAAGTTTAATAAGTTTATCAAATGCTGCAAACATTAAATTCTTTAACAAAAACAAGCGAGTGGTTAGGATTGCTTATGGGAACAAGTGGGGTTATATCACTTGGGCTACGATTTATATATTTCGAATAGGAATGATTGAGATGGTCAAAATGAAGACAAACAAGAAGTGAACTTAAAAAAGGCTTTCAATGTGTCCCTTATATATCTTGCACATATTACCCTTTACCCGGATGTAAGGATGCATTTGGCTTATGTCTCTCTCTTATTTGGACCTGAAACATCTTTGATACAATTTTAAGCATGTCAAACACATGTTATGGTGGCTCTATAACAATCTAAACTCTTAACTATTGAGGTATTGTCCGCTTTGGCCTAACAGCCTCATGATTTTTTGTCATTTGTGTAACTTCTCAGGAGATCACTCATCCCAGTATTGCTCTAGCACGAGCACACTTAACTGTGGAGTTTCTTAATGAAATCCCAACAATTACACCAAAAGGCATCTAGATGTTTAAGAGTTTAACTTTTTCTACTTAAGGGATTTTACAACCTTCCTCACTTTAGTTGCTGATGTCCTCCTCAGTATCATTATCCCAAAATCATCCATTATGTAGATAGGATTCCTGACCTTACAGATTTAAGTGGTGGCTCATGTCATGTAGCACTTTGGGGTTCAAGAGATGCCCCCATGGCGTAGCACATTATCTTGTATGACACTTAATTCCTATCTTCCTACTAGTTTATTGCTCTGATACCACTCTATAATAGCTCAAACTCTTCATTATCGAGGTATTATCTGCTTTGGCCTAATGACTTCACTGTTTTGTCCCGTTGGTATAACTTCCAAGGAGGTCACCCATCCCAGTATTGCTTCAACACGAGCGCGCTTAACCTTGAAGTTTCTTAATGAAATTTCAACCATTACATCAAAAGATGTTTCGATATTTAAGAGTTTAGCTTCTTTCTACTTATGAGGTTTTACAATGTCAGAGGTGTGTCATGTCTGACTCGTGCCCAACTAGAACCCAACAAGTATTTTGAAGTGTTCATGCTTTATAGTCATATCTGCTCGGCCCAGATAGTCTAAGGGATGGATCGGCTTCAACCATTGGTAGAGTTGTGCTGAGCCTTTGGATGAGTGGAAAGGTTGACAAGAGAGAGCAAGTTGGCATACTCAATTTCAAGATAAATTGACCAAAGAAATTCAATTTGACAAAAACATAGAGATGAAACTTAGACAATCTATTGATAAGATTTAATGACCACACTTAAAGTTCTATACAACAGAGTTCAATGAATTAATTATTACAAGATAAGTCCATCTAAATGATAACGCAAAACTAGTCAACTACCGCTCATCGCTTGAAAGGTACCTAAGCCCAACCTATCACTTGAAGGTAAAGCAACAACAAAAGTTAAGATAACCTCATTGGAAAATGCAGAACGCAAATTAGTAGTTTCATGAACATAGCTATAAAGATGAGTAAGGTAGGTTCAAGAAATTATCAAGTAAATCATATTGGTGTTGAACTGTCTTTCCCCCAGACCTAGGTCAAAGAATTGATCTGGTCAAATTTGACCAGACTAGACCCCAGGACCCATCCCAATGGGTTCAGGGAGTTAAGCCAAGTCTGTCGAGCCCAGACCTAGGCCCTGGGTCAACCTGGTTGACCAGGTAAACTTGGGTTGACCCAAACACCTTCTAATTGATTTCAAATCGATTTCATAGCTCCTTGGCTCAACCTCTCACCTCCCCTGGGCTCCATGGGTCAGACCAAGTCTCTTGAGCTCAGACTCATGCCCTGGGTCAACCTGGTTGACCAAGTCAACCCAGGTTGACCCATTTTGCCCCTTTGAGCCCAAATTAGTTTTAAACCTATTCAAACCTATCCATGGCTCAATCCACTGATCCCTTGGACCTATTTGGCTGGGTTGACTAGGTCAACCATTGACCTGGTTAACCCAAGGCTTAAATAGGTCAAAATGACCTATTTAAGCCCATTAAGAGCCTATCAAGTGCATTTAAGGCCCTTTTAATGGTCCCTTATTCAAATCCCGTGAGAATCAAGCTTAATTCTCTCCAAATCAACTCTTGGTTGAATCTTGGTCGTTCCCTTGGAGTCCATGCATTTAAATACCCATGTTTAGGGTTTCAAAAGGGACTTTTTGGCTAGCTCTCTCTCTCCAGACCTCCTCAAGCCTTGAGATTTGGTGTGAGAGTTTCCACGACCTCCCCTTACCTTTTCCAACCCAAACCGATCACCCCAAGCCGCCGCCGCCGAGTTCTTCGGCGACCCAAGGGCTTGAAATTTCCAAGATGTTTTGCGATCGATCCATCGCATTTCGAAGCACGATTTCTTCTACAACTAGGAGTGTGGACAGTCTATAAGTGCAACACGCCAGAGATCTCCCAAATCTATTAGGTATTTTCGATAAAATCTCAAACCCTAGATAGAATAATGATCTAAATAACTTTTTGTAAACCGCATATTAAGTCGCATGCTTGGTCCCCCATGATTTCTGTTCATGCCTAGATTTTAGGTTTAAAATTTCATAAAAATCTATTGAGTGCAATGTTTAAAATTGCGTATTCGGGTATTGAGGCGTTTTTCATAGGCGTTTTGAGGCGTAAGCCTCAAAATCAAAAGATTGTGTAAACATAAAATGATAAATTTTTTATATACTAATGAGTGAATAATATAAAACATAAAAAAACATAAGATATGAAGTGAAATCAAAATATCCCAATAATAAGACAACATGAAATATAGTTCAACTCAAAATTACATCTTTCCCAAATCCCAGTATTCTTTTCATTAACATATAATTCAAATTTTCAAAAATAAATAGCAATGGCATATCACATAAGAGCTCATAAGTCATCAGCACTGACATCACTAAGGGGTTCTTCATTTGAATCATCATTATGATGAACTACTCTCTCCCCTTCCTCCTTTCCTATAGAGTCCAATGTCGGGCATTTACTTCAAGATTTATGTAATTTTTAATATATATAGCGTGAGGCGTAAGCCTCATGATAGTAAGGCGAGGCGGGCCTCAACCAAGTTGAGGCGCAAGCCTCATAAAAAAACTCGAGGCGTAAGCATTGAGGCATTTTTTATTGGAATTGCGCAAAGGCGGGCCTCAAGGCGAGCCTCATATTGCGCAATTTTAAACCATGGTCCCCATTCTTTCTTGCGGCCCGAACCGAACAAGAGATGGAGGAGCGTCGGGTAGGAGGCGAATCCAGCCGTCCTAGAGGCGATTTTCGGCGGTGGTTTGCGAGGGAGATTGAAGGAAAGTTGTAAGGAAGAGTAAAGTGAGCTCTCATAAACCTTTTTCATGATTTTTCACTTGAGATTTTTTAAAGAAAGAAAACTAGGGTTTTTGGAAAATGCAAGTTTTCTTTAAGATAAAGATAGGGAAGGGCAGGGGGATGTTTTTAAACCCAAATATTAGTTGATTTCATGAAAGATGTGGATAAAATTTAGGGTTTCACTCAAGGTTGATTTTATTTTGAAATGCCTTCACAAAAGTAACTCCTAATGGCATAAGAGAGCATCTATTTGAAAAATAATGCAAGATGTGGAAAAAAATTTTAAGTTTTAGAAATTAGGGTTTTCCCTAATCATGAAATTTTTTAGCTTTATGGTTCTAAATGGATTTGGGAAGATTTTAGAGGCAAATTTAGGGCTTTTGCATAAAATACTAATTTTTCTAATTTTGATTTAAAATATT